ACTTGTAGCCTACTGGACTGTGAGAGAATAAACTTCTCTTTGTTAAAGCCATCCACTTGTGGTATTTCTGTTATAGCAGCACTAGATGACTAAGACACATGTTATGGGCTAGAGTTTGGGATTCATCAAGTAATAGGTGGTAGTTGAAGCTATTGTGAAAGAGATCATCCAGGAAAACCAGGTAGAGTGAGCAAAGCTCCAGAGAGCACTGACACTTAGAATGTGATCAGCTAAAAGAATGCTACAGAAAAGACTGAGAAGGAATGCTGGAGAGTGGGAGGGAACGAGAGTGGTGTGGAAGAAGATTTTGGATCTGGCCATATAATGTTGGTGTATGAAATACTCTAAAATGATAAAATGTTTGAGATAATGAGCCCCTGTGTTCTTTCCTTAATATTTTTTGTGTGCTTACCATTTTTGAGACACTAAAATAGCCACTTGATGTTCCAAACAAATAACATTTATTTATAAACTCTGATAACTGATACTTCTCTTCAGAAAAAGAAATGTGCAGTTGGCATTTCTCACAAGTTCTGCTCTTCCAGCAATATTCCAAAGGTTTATAGGAATAGTGTAGTGGGTGAGTGGAGTGGTGGGTGAGTGCATAGATTCTAGAGCCATACAGCTCGGGTTTGAATCTTGGCTGGGTGAAGTTGGGGAAGTTACTTAACCTCCCTGTGCGTCAGTTTCCTTATCTATAAGGAGGGATTATCAACAGCTACTTCACAGGATCGTTATGAGGATTACCTAAGATGATATGTAACAGTGTTTAGAACAATTCCTGGTCTGAAAATAGGCCCCATGTAAGTGTTAGTTATTATCATATTTCCTAAAAATTCCCCAGTAGGAACATTTTGTAAGCAAAACTATCAGAGAATTACAATTCCTATAATCACACTAAAATCAAATAGCAAACGTAAAAGAAATCAAAAGTGAAGTAGGTTTCCACTTATACAAGACACCACCGTGTTTACTGTAGAAGGAAGACCTCTAGGTTTCCCCTTATAAACTTATGATTTAGTATAAAACCAAAAAAAACCCAAACCCGTTGCTGTTGAGTCGATCCCGACTCATGGGGACTCTATAGGACAGAGTAGAACTGCCCCATAGGGTTTCCAAGGAGCAGCTGGTGGATTTGAACTGCTGACCTCTTGATTAGCAGCCAAGCTCTTAACCACTGTGCCACCAGGCTCCGACATACATGTATATCATATATATGTCATACATGTATAAACCAAAATCAAACCTGCTGCCGTCGAGTTGATTCCGACTCATAGTGACCCTATAGGACAGGATAGAACTGACCCAATAGGGTTTCTAAGGAGTGGTTGGTGTATTTGAACTGCTGACCTTTTGGTTAGCAGCCAAGCTCTTAACCACTGCGTCACCAGGGCTCTATATGTATACATATATATATACCAAACAGGTTGCTATTGAGTCGATTCAGACCTGTGGCAACCCCATGTGTGTCAGAGTAAAACTGTGCTCCACAGGGTTTTTAATGACTGATTTTCAGAAACAGATCACCAGGCCTTTCTTCCAAGGAACCTCTGAGTGGACTCAAACCACCAACCTTTTGGTTAGCAGTCAAACACTTAACCATTTACACAACCCAAGGATGAGTGTGTGTGTGTGTGTGTGTGTGTGTGTGTGTGTGTGTGTATGATCTCATTATTTGCAGTAGTTATAATCTTTCAAGTTGCTTCAAACTCTGAATTAGTGAATACTGATCTGTTGCTCCTAGGGATAATACAGGGGTAGGTCGATGCAAGTCTCTAGTCACAACATTTTTGCCATGTGATCAATATACAACCTTGTTTTCTGTATGCTTCCATTTAAAGACAACTTATTTAATATATATTGTTGATTCATTAACACTGAATTCACTGCCAAAAGCACTATAGCTCATGCCTGAAAGAAGCTTATTCTAGAATATTTCTCCGTAACGCACATAATGACCTTCTTGTGTTTAAGAACACTAGACAGCCATTCTTCACTGCACTTAGATTTCATTTTAAACAGCAAAATTACCAATACAAGCACAAAAATGTGAAAACGTGGCACTAAGTAGACCACAAAAAGGACACTTGTTTACAATATGAGAGCTGAAACAAGAAGGCAGAGTGTCACCTTGTTCGACCTTAGCTGGGAACATGTGCTTTGGGTGAAACAAATATTTCACTTCTCTGTGTTTGTCCACAAATGATCACAAAAGCACTGTGAGTTTTGATTTTGGGTTTATAAATAAATTTTAGTGAATAGATAAATTTGTCAGTACAGAATCTGTGCATAACGAAGACAGAAGTGTATATACTAAAATGACATATACTAGTCTAATCAAAGATTAAGAGTTGAAATTCATCTGAATCCATGACATTAAGACATATTTAAACTGCATTTCATAACCTACATAATTCATAATTGAACTAATTAATTCAAAGCCAAGAATAATTAAGTGATTTAGGCCAAAACCATTAATTTAGTATTTATATGTAAGTGATCCTATAAACTACAATTTCTTTTTATTTCTTCCCCGGTAAAAGGGGAAACTTACTTTCATGATAGGTAGAAATTTCTATAGTAATTTATTCTGAAAAATTGATATGATTTATAAATACTGCCAATGAAGCGTAACATTTCCAAATGCTTTGAGAATGCCCAAGTGTCTCACTGTATATAAGAGTTACTTGGTAGAATTTTTAAAAAACCCTTCCTGGAGCAACAGAAAAGGACCAACATGGCAAAAACACAATGAGCTCCTTTCAGAATTCAGAAACCTTTCTTCTTTCTTCTGGCCTTCCAAAACTATCACCCTGGTCATGCTAATCAATAATATCCTCAAGCAACCAATTATCAAAGGTACCTGCTCATGCAGCAACAACAAAATTTTCATAATGGCTTCATGGAGAGGCAAGATGATAACCAAAGATCAAGAAAAAAAATTACCAGGCTCTTCTCCAAGGGATAGATCTTTCTGGAATGCCATGGACAATAACTGTAACTGCATAATGGCAGGAAGTTTTTCTATAATTCCATTTATCTGTTAGTTTCTTGTCTCTTAGACCAAAATATAAAATACTAATGGAATCTGAGCAAGGAAAAAATCAATGGGGCCCTATATCTTTGAGTGTTTATAGATGGATAAAAGAAGGTACATGAGAAAGACCATTGTGATAATAGCCCTTCAGAAAAGCAGCATATTGCAGAGGATACTGGTTGTAAAACAGTGAGCTCAGCTTGAGTTGTAAAGCTTTAGTGTGTTTGTTCTGCTGTTGCAAATCACCACCACAGTAGAGTGTCCCTTCACAATGCTAGGCACAGTGTGTATCCTCACACTTAGCACAGTGGCAGGCACATAATAGTATTCCATAGTTATTTGTTGAATTTGAATAATTGCATTTACTTTTATTGTACCATTTTAAGAAACATTAATTAATAATGGAGTAACATCCTTTGAGATGTTACAAAAAACCAAATTGCTTTGGAGAACAGTAATTGTTGAAGATAGTAATGTACTCCACCAGAACCAGTTGCCATTGAGTTGATACTGACTCATGGCAACCCCACATGTGTCAGAGTAGAACTGCGCTCTGTAGGGTTTTCAATGGAGTAGGATAGATCACCAGGCCTTTCTTTCAAGGCACCTCTAGGTGGACTTGAACCTCCAGCCTTTCATTTGGCAGCTGAATGTGTTAACCTCCCCATGCAGAGATGCCAAAGTACCCCACAGTATGAAAGAAACTGGCATTGAGTGAAGTGTTCTGAGTCCAGCTGAAGAAATTCTTGTGTTTTCTAAATGGAATTTCTTTAGCAACCACTGCATCTGATTCAGAGAGCAGCACTCTTGTCAAATCTTCCTAACTAAAATGCACAGATTGAGTCAGCTCTTTTTGAGTTTATTTTTATTTGTATACACGATACAAAAATAAAGTGAAAGACCATCAAAAACGGGAACTGTCTTGCTGAACCAGTTTACATTGTTCTAGGTCACCTTTGATCTAAGACTTAAAGCCCGAAATATAGGTGGTGATAGTACTGCTATTATATTTTATTAGTTTACACTTGGGATTTTTCTGAAAGGTAATTTCCAATGTTGTGAATACGCATTTTATTATAAAATACATATTAGAAATGCAATCTAGGATTTTGCCAAATGTATTCTTTCTATGACATGGTGATGTGGCCTCTGGCTGGCTTCTTGTCCCCTACAGATTGGGCCGCCCTCCACATCTTGCTAAAAGAGGACTAATGTGGGTTTGGAAATGCACTCACTAAACCAGGAAATAAACCACCAAGTGAAAGGGGAGAGAACTGTGTCTCAATCTGGACAGATCCTAAATTTTCCTAGAAAGGATTAAAAGTAAAAGGCAGCAAATGGAACAACCAGAACGGAAATAATGAGACTGCTCAAGCATTGTGAAGAATGTAACCAATGTCACTAAACAACTTGCGTAGAAATTGTTGAACGGGATCCTAAACCTTCACCAAAAACACAATAAAATACTATTTAAAAAAAAAAAAAAAGTAAAAAGGCAGCCTCAGAAGAGGAACCTGCTGGTAGCAATAGCAGCAGCAACAAAGAAGTGCAACTTAGACAGACTTCTAAGGGAATCAGATAATTTTCAAAAAGCTAGGCGTTCTTTGAGGATTCTTTTTCTCCAGTCTATTTCTAAACATTACCCTGTTTAGTATGTTCCTGACACTCTGGATCAAAAGCATAACTTGTTTAGTTTTCTATACAGATAATGGCTTTCTGTTTAGAAAATCTGCCTGCTCACACACTGAAAAAATGAGATGCTAGCACTTAAATTCAGCAGTTAGTATTTCAATTACACCGCAAATTTATATCATTTTAAAGTATATTAATATATTTTTAATTCTTGTCTGAGTAAGTTGTACTTAAATACATGTATATATATCAGAATGATTTTATAACAGTCATGTTATAGGTAATATAGTCTCAAACTACAGTGATTTTACATCTACAAAGAACATTAAAACATATTTCTATTAAAATTTTTCTCAATTTTCTAAAACAAAAAAAGAATCCAAGCAATCCTTTCCATAGCCATCTTCACGTATGTCCTAGCCTAGTATCTGGCACATAGTAGGCATCTAATAAATACTGTGGAATAAATGAAGGCCCTGAAAGTCCATTTTACATTTTTGTGTCCCTTGTCCTTGACAGCATGCTCCTTTAACTGCTTAACATTTGTATTTTTCCAAAGTAAAAGGCATTTAAGATACCCATTGAGTTAGATACCCAGCAGGCTGATCCAGAAAAGTCTGAAAGATAATAGCGTTAAGGTTACATGCAGTTTTGTAGAGTTTGGGTGATAACCAGAGAGAAGGCATTTCTATCTTTTACCTATTTATTCTTAAAATAAAAACAAACCAGTTGCCATTGAGTCCACCAAAAGGCTGGAAGGTCGAGTCCACTCAGAGAAATCTTGAATGAAAGGCCTAGCAATCTACTTCTGAAAAATCAGCCATTGAAAATTCTATGGAACGCAGTTCTACTCCGACATAGATGGGGTCCCCATGAGTCAGAGCTGACTTGACAGCAACTGGTATTTACTCTTAGGGAAACAATAATAGAGATATGAGTTCTGTCGACAGGGCTTTCACTCCAAGTCAGAAAACATACAAGAGGTCCAGTTACCCTAGGTCTAATCCCACTCAGTCCATCAGCAAATACTTATTGAGCACCTGCTCTGCACAGGAACCTGTGAAAGGTGCAAAGCATGCGAAGTACCTTCCTGATACCTGAATGCAGCAGTGTAAGGAGGATGTAGAGGAAGCTTACCTCCGCAGAGCAGCCCTTTGTGCCTCACGCAAGAGAAGTTGTCGCACTGGCAGTAAGGCCCATAGATGTTTCCATAGGGAGACAAGTGGCAGATACACTGCCCGCAGTAGCAGTCACCCCTTCCGCTGCATGAAGGGTGGTCCGGGGCTTCTTTGCAGGAATCTGTGCTCAGCGTGTCCTCGCCACACTCACAGCGAGGACCCATGTGGCCCGGGTTACAGGCACACACCCCACATTGGAAGGAGCCGTTCCCGTGGTGGCATTTGGAGCTGTTCACTTCCACTTCTTTCTGACAGTCACAGTTGCATTCCGAATGGACATGGATTTCTAGGGTGTCCCCCAGCCCCACGGGCTTTATAATTATGTGCCTGTTTCTCCTCTCGCAGTTTGGTATACTCAAAGTCACGTTGAATGAAGCCTGGAAAAAAAACCCGAAAACTAATTATCTGCTTCTTCAATCCACCAAAATGCATGGTGAGAAACAAAGCTGGGTAGAGATCAGCTTTGCCGAAAACGTTTACTAGGAAATCTGAAATTCTTGAAAGGAGAAGTCCAAATTTGGCACATTAAGCTAATTTCTGACCCGTTCGAATATTTCTTTCAGACGAAATATTGGCCATCTACTTACTGTGTCTCCCACCTTCATGTGGGAGCATTTCTTTTGGTGTGCGAAGAGGGTACTATTGTTGCAGACAGCTGTGAATGATAGGTTGAGTCCTTCTGTATCTCCCAATACTTCCAGTTCTACCTCAGACCGCAGTTCCTTTAGTCAAGACATAAAGAGTTAAACGAAGTCACAGCTAAAAAACACAGCCAGAGGAGGAAACGGTGACTCACGTTTATTGAACTATAAATGAATAAAATGAGATTGGGTCTAAAAGACATCCAGCATATTATCAAGCAAGCAAGCAAGCAATCAACACAATACAGTATGTACATACCCTATTGTGTTAAATCTAAGATGCCATCAATTGTAAGATATACCATTATTTTAATGACAGACTGGGACAAAATACCTCAAGATCGTTCTACACAACATATGAATCAGTCACAACAGCCTACCGTTGCTTTGAAAATTATTTAATCAATTCTGAGGGATTTAGCAAATTCGCCTGCTCTCAATTGAATAACTTAGCATATAAAAGGCAATTCTTCTGCTTTTTTCTCACAAAATATAACACAGCTTCCTCTACTTGTGGATGTCATCATTTCTTAGGTCCCATAAAGCAGCTGGTTGTCGCTTTGCCAGGAATACAGAATTGCAGACTTTCATCCAACAATGGATATTTGCTTTGCTGATATCAAATTTATGCCCTGCTGCTCTGTTTTGGTACATTTCTGCGTAGACAATAACTTTTCATTTCAATATTAAATCATAGTGCAGACTTTCTGAAGATATCTTAAAATGCAAATTAAGCTTAACACTTACACCACATTTTTACACAGATAACATGCGTGTTACATGTTTTTTGCCAACTGTGGAACCCCTTTGCACATTATTTTCCTAGGTGAGTTATATGTGTTATATGTGTGGAAGTGTTTTTTACGTGGGCGCGTTATTTGCAAACAAATACAGTATTACCAACAATGCACTTAACAGATTGAAGTGACTACAATATATGCAGCTATGGCCAAGTTCATATACGCACAGGCAATGAAAACTATATCATAAGTATTGCCTGCTGGCAGTGGTTCTAAGACTCCACTGATTGTGAGCTGCATCCTGATTTTAGAGATGTTAAAACACGGGAGGGAGGAACTGTGCCTTAAAATTGATATGCAATTTATTGAGTTCCTATCATACATTTAGAAGTCCCTGGGTGGTGTAAATGGTTAAGTGCTCGACTACTAGCCAAAAAGTTCATAGTCTGAACCCACCCAGAGGTGCCTTGGGAGACAGGCCTGGAAATCTGCTTCTGAAACTCTGTGGAGCAGTTCTACTCTATACACATGGGGTCGCCATGAGTCAGAATCAGCTCAACAGCAACTAACAACAACAAGAAGCTTACTGTCTTACTGAAAAAACCTAGATGGACCCAGGTGACTAAAATGCTAGTCAATGCACCATTAAGTTAAAAAAAAATTATGCAATGCAGATGAGGGTTTGGGACAGTTTAGAGAAGGGAGTGGTCAGTGAATGCTGAAGTAGTAAGGGAAGATAGGCCTTTAAAGGCTGAGTTGGATTTAGAAGTGTGGAGGGGATGACAGCGGTAGTCCAGACAAGGGAAACCAGAGGAGAGAAAGCCCAGTGCCAGTAAGGTGACAAGTGGGGCTGAGAACAAGCAGGCTCTTCTGCTGTCCTGGGTGACACCGAATAAGAGCCCCGATGTTTGGAGAGATGAGTTAAGACCTAGTGCTGTGGGAAACAGCCCCAGGAGTTTTTAGGCAGGGACCCAATCTACTGAAAATACAGCTGAAGGAAAGTTGTCTGGAGGCTGTGCAGGGCAGACTTGTGGAGGCGATAAGGACATGGAAGTGAAGAAAGCTGGGAGGTGCTGCATTCATCCTAGCCCAAGGCTTGAGGATAGGATCTGGGGGTAGTCATGGGAATGGAGAGGAGAGAATCATTGTGTGACAACAGAGATTAAAGGGAGGCAGACTAGATATGAGCACATGGGAGCCGGCAGAGCTGAAGAGAAGAAAGCCAAGGTTTTCTAGGAGGAAGAATGTCAAGGAAGGAGGAAGGGAGAGCTGTTTGTTCTGGAGAAAGACAATGATGTTATTCACATTTTCTCTATTCCTTGTTAATTTACAAAATAAAAGTCTGTATGTGGGGGACAAAACCAAATTATAAGCATTTAGAACAAAAAATTGAAATAAAAACAAATTTTAAAATATTATGAATCAAGTTATACTTCAATTCACCCAAAAGGAATTGCATCCACTTATCCTTTTCATTGTTGGCATTTTAAAAACATATTCAGCTCCAAATTTTCCTGAAGTATTATTTTACCAACTGCAGAGGAAGATGACCCTACTTTCATCTAAAATCTAAGTTGCTGACTGTAAATTCTAAGTTGCTCCTCTTTCCTGTGTTTTCATTTGCTTCGTATAGCGCCCGCTTAGTCAGCAGACTCAGGCTGGCTTTTCAGAATATGTTCTTCATCAGAGATTGAAGTGTCATTTCTCAGTCCTAAAGATTATTTCCATCTCGTTTTATGACTTCAAATTCTGCCAATTTAGCATTAAAATTACTCTTTAAGCCTGTTTAATTTCAGCTAGTTAAATTATACATATTCATTCATTCAGAAAATTTGAATGTCCAATATGTACCAGGTATGGTTCTAAGGACATGGGTAATGGCAAAGGCAAAGATACCTGACCTCTTGTAGTTCATATTCCAGCGTGAGGCGATAGGAAACACACAACATAATAAATAAGAAAACTATGTAGAATGTTAGAAGGTGATAGAGGCTATAGAAAAAAGAGCAGGGTAATGGAGATTAAAGAAGTGTGTGCAGAAGGTGTACGCTGAAATTTTAAATAAAGTGGTCAGGGTAGGAGTCATTGAGAAAGTGGCATTTGAAGAGTCTTGAAGGAATTGAGAAGTTAGCCAGCTATCTGTAGAAAGAGTGTTCCAGGAAGAGGGTAGAGCCAAAGTAAAGGCCTTAAGTGGGAGCATGTCTGGTGTGTTCTGAGAACAGAAAACCAAGGAACCAAGGGTCATTGTTCTGGAGCAGAGTGAGCTAGAGGAGAGTAACGGGAAGTGAATTTAGAGAGGTAATGTGAGAGTGGAGGAGAGCACATCAGACGGGGACCTGGTAAGCCGTTATAAGGAATTCAGCTCTACTCTAAGGAAAATAGGAAAACAGTTAGGGGGGTTCTTCATCCAGAGGAGTGTGATGATCTCACCTAATGTTTTTAAGGAAAAATTCTAGCTACTATGTTGAGAACAGAATGTAGGAAACCAAGGATGAAGGGGGTAGGGGGAGTTAGGAGGCTATTGCAACAATTCATGTGAGAGAAGAAGTTGGTTCTGACCAGGATGGAGGAAGTGGAGGTAGTGAGATTGGATCAAATTCTAAATAATTATGAAGGTAGAGATAGACTTTCCAGTAGCATTTTATTCCAATAGAATTTCCTGGTGGATTAAATGTACAGTGTAAGAGAAAAAGAGTCAAGGATCATTCCAAGCTTTTTGGTTTGAGTAACAAGAAGGATGGAATTACCATCAACTAAGGAGAAAACTATAGGTGGAAGATGTTGGGAAGAGTCTAGATCTCTCTCCTGAATTGTCAACTAATATATCTACTGACTCCTAGACATCCCCACTTGGATATCTATGAGAGAAATAAAGCATGGTTGCTGGCCAGCATTAAGGGTCTGCTTCAGGTCCATGATCATGAATTTAAAGTGAGACCAATGGTTATATGTTTTACCCATCCACATTCAGCTGTGTAGAGTGATGAAAACTGGATTTAACTAGGACTGTGGTTGGCCACTGGAAAACCTGCTGGTGTAGTGGTTAAGAGTTTGGCTGCTAACCAAAAGGTTGGCAGTTCAAATCCACCAGGTGCTCATTGGAAACCCTATAGCACAGTTCTACTCTGTCCTACAGGGTCTCTATGAGACAGAATCAACTCAATGGCAATGGGTTTTTTTGGGTTTGGTGGTTGGCCAAACAATTTCAAAGGAACAATAAGGGGCTGGGGAGTTGAGAGTGTGTCTAAGGCGTGACCACAATGATTGATCATTGAGTTTAAACTGGGGGCCCGTGCAAGAAAGGATATCAGGGGGTAAGAAACAATGAAGAGAGAGTAGGGTCAATTAATTGGAGATTCTGATGACTTCTAAGAAATATTAGGGGTACTAGAAGGAGTGAGCTAAAAAGATAGGAGGTGGTGAGCAGAAAGTGGGTGGCATGCAGTTGAGATTGTAAAGGAGTCTATTGGCAATTTCAAGGTTTAAGGTATGATGAGAGAGTGAGACTATGAGAAGTGGGGAGGGGAAAAGATCATTTAGGAGAGGAGTTCAAGAAACTGAAAGGCCAGGGTATGAGAAAGATCATCCATTCATCCATTCATCCATCCATCCACCATCCACCCATCCATCCATCCATCAATCCATCTACCTACCTACCCTGACATCATCAAGAATTAATGCAGGAGTATGAGTTGAAATTGACTTGATGGCACACAACGACAGTGTTGGAGAGAATGACACAGTAAGTCAGGAGTTAGATGAGAAATGAAAGAAATGATGACCTTCAAGTCTGTAATGACAACCATAATGAGGACTAGGGGTGACAGAGTCTGACCAAAATGATGGAAATCTCAGCATGAAATAGTTGGAATACCATACTTCAAATTCCACCAGGAATATTTTAATGCAAATTGCCCAGGGAAAGGACCTCAATGTTTCCTTGTAGATGTCATTATTTCATTTATTCATATACTGAGTATCTCTTATAAGCCAGGCAAAACCAAACAAACCAAGTCACTTCCCTCATGAAGCTTATATGCCCATAGAGGAGTTTACCCTTGGAATCACTGATATTTCAGTAGCTTTTATTATATGATTAGGGAAGGAAGAAAATTAGCTACTGATGGTCAGATGATTACAAATCTGGTAGTTAGGTTAAAAAAAAATCAATATGGCACTGTAAAATCTGAGATGAAGTTCATAATTACTAATTACAAACACAAATAGTCTACCTCTGTCCCACTAGAAGTCAATTAGAAGCATTTTGTTTTATCTCGATGTATTTTTTCCTTCATTCCTTCCTTCCTCTTTTTATAGACTGGAAAGAAACTGAGCCCACAGATCTCCATATTATAAAGACCTTTTAGAATACATCTAAAAATAACAGTAGAAAAATCATTTAAACTGGTGCCAAGATCCTCTGCGTGTGTCATTTGTGAATCATGAAGTTTCAGTAAAAATCCCAGAGCAAGATTGTTTAGTATAAGAGATATAAGAGTAATAGACACTTCTTAGTATTTTTGAGACAGTAAAACAGGAGCATGAGATTTAATTCAAATGTTTAATGCCTTAATTTCAACAACTTTAAATTATATGAGTGATTTGGGACCACTAAGCTAGGTTTGGAGCCCTGGTGGCGCAGTAGTTAAGAGATCAGCTGCTAATCCAAAGGTTGGCAGTTCAAATCCGCCAGCTGCTCCTTAGAAACACTATAGGGCAGTTCTGCTCTGTCCTATAGGGTCGCTGTGAGTTGGAATGGACTCTCAACCACCAAGGGTTTGGTTTATTTTATCTGGAAGCTAGACTTAACCTCTGGCAGGGCAGCAGGGCCATGGGCGGGGCTGGTCAGATGCAAGAGGAAATATTTTTGACAATTCACTGTTTTCTAATTTGCTTAATTCTTTTGAAGATTTTAGTGGTCAACAGTTTTGAGAGTGTTGGGTTAAAGGAAGTGATATGTTTCTAATTCAGTGAAGGATTGCCGTGTGATTTTATTTGATTCCACACATTAAAACTTTAATTACTGCATCGGAGGGAGCAAGGTTTTTACAGTGTTTTGTTGACAAGCTTTCCTGTCTGGAAGAATTTCAACCATGAGGTAATGTGGTGATTAATTTTTGATACGAGCTAAGAAGTTTCTGAGGCTATCGGTGGAAAAAACTCCATCCTCCTGTAATTTTAATGGACACATCTGTATTTTATTCTTTGATGAAATGAAGGGTTTGAAAAGGAATTCCCTGCTTTTTCCTCTTAAAGTGACTTTCAAAATTGGTAGGGTGATATCAAAATCACTGGGGAATTTTTTTCAAAATATGTAGCTCGTCCTGTTCAAGTTCTCTTAAAATGTCTGTAAGAGGATTCTGGACCTGGCTGTTTTTAAAAAGCTTCCCAGATGATTCTGAAATGCCATTTAGTTAAAAAACAAACAAACAAACAAACAAACAAAAAACCCTGGTTCAACATATACTAAGTATTAGCATACACTGCATATGGGTCATTTATTTGTGATTTGAAAACATTAAAAATTAGGACATTTTATTCATTTATTATTGGGTTGCTTTGTTAACAAATGTTAGATTTACAGCTTGTAAAATTTTACTTTTTTTGTTCTTGTCTGAATTTAGAGCATCATCTTTTTTTTTTTTCTTTGTTAGTAAAGGCAGAAGAGGGCGATGATATTTAGAAATCAAAATAAAAAGAACAGGCAACTGGCTATTGCTTGTTAATTAATTTAGTCATGAAATAAGGATAAAGGAAGAGAGCATTATGTAACCCTGTAGGTATGTATCTTATTTCAAGGGAGGCGTTCTGTCCTCAGGTACTAATTCACAAAATCAAGGCAAATAATCATATACATACTTATAAAACCAAGGAAAAATTTCCCTGGTTCACCAAAGTAGAGCATCTCAAAATTGGTGTTCCTGGTGATTTTTGATGCTTTGTTGTGTAGCCAACACTTGCGTTTTTTCTTGAGTTCTGTCCTTGTCTCAGGAAGGCTGTGGAGTTACTTCTCCACGTAGCTCTGTTACTCACTGGCAATTTAAACTTAGGTTTTTTTTCACACAGATAAGAGGGGAGCTTAATTGTATGACTCATGGAGCCAATTGAGTAGAATTAAAATTCTCCCAGGTGACTGTCATAAAAACCACCTAAACTTTATGATCCAGTTTATGATTTTTCTAGCTTCTGTTCCATCTTTCAGGAAGAATATCTTCAAATTAAGGGTACAGAATTTATATTTTCACTGCATTAGTGCAGAGAGATTTTCTTTGGAAAAAAAAGAACTCTACCAACAAATGAGAGTACTCGTAACTGCCCAAAACACATCTTAGTTTTGAATACCAAAAAAATGTAAAAAAGAAGAAAACTGTAAAATATCATACTTCATAAGCTGAGATGATCAGCTGGAGAATGTTTCCAGAGTCCTTCTGAAGTAGCCCTACCGTGGCTCCAGGAATAAGTTTTGCGTAATTCTGTAAACAAAAAGAATAAATCAGTCTTTGTTTGCTCACTGTAATTGAGAAACGTTAAGTGTGGGATTCAACTTGCTGACTGTGATTGCCTCTGTTTAACTGGCTGGTGAGAACAGGCTCCTGATAATCAACTGGCGTTTCTCCTGAAACTGTAGCTCTTGCATCTGTGCAGCTTCCTGCACTCAAGTGGGAAATGCACTGGCCCGAGTTGCCACTGGGGAAATCTGGTGTCTGTGGTTGCGTTAGTCTAGAGCCGTGGTTTATATCACGATGGGAGTTAGGTCTCAAATAACAATAGTAACATTTATATAACGTTTTCCATCCATGGAGCATCTGTGTCCAAGGATTTCTAGCATGCTTTTGGGAAATATTTATTTTCTCTTTTTGTAATGTTTAGAAAACAAGGTTCTGTCCATATGGGTCAGTGACCAGGTCACTCTGTAAAGTCATTCAGTCCAGGCGCCTTAATGAGCAGTCACTTGGTGGAGAAAAGGAGTGAATTATTCTGATTCTTGCTGTTAACTCCCCCTTTCCTATAGCTAATGGGCACTTCTTTAGGACCTGGAGCTGCGGAAGTCAGCGCTGTGCTGGGGGCAGTCGGAATCACTCCCCATTGCGTCAGGACTGGGTGAGTCAGAACTTTGCTCTAAATGGTACGCATTCTCCATTTATTGCCTCTCCTGAGATGCCATTCCCAATCAGGGAGAACTCACAATACTAACTCGTCAAAGCTCTGGGTATCCAGCATGGCCAGGGAAAGAGGCATTGCAAAGAAGGGAATTTTCCAGAGAGCTGAAAATTTCCACATCCTTCTCCTGTAGAGCAGCTAGTGGGTTCGAATCGCTGACCTTTTGGTTAGCAGCTGAGCACTTTCACCACTGTGCCACCAGGGCTTCTCTTAATTTTTAAGTTTGAAAACTATTATTTTTAATCAAAGGAGACTGGATAGAGCAAGCAGTTTGCGATCAACTGCTTACTGAAAGGTTGGCGGTTGAAGCCAGCCAGCAGTGCTGTGGAAGAAAGTCCTGGCAATCTGCTTCTTCTGTAAAGATTGCGGCCAAGAAAACCCTATGAAATACAGTACTAGTCTGTAACATATGGGGTTGCGACTCCACGGCAGCTAACAACAACGTTTTTAAGCAAAAAGTCTTCTAAAATGTATAATACACATCCCTGCCTTCTTAAACAAAGAATCCAAGCATATTTTGACTTTTTTTTCTTGAAGAAATAGAGCCATATTTATCAATATTAACTATTGTTCTATAATCATCAAAGACTTCTAAAATCCATGGAGAGGTTCCCAAGTGGACCCTGACTGCTATGCTTTTACTTCTTGTATTTTTTTAAAAAAATATTTTTTATCTTCTTGTTAGGCTGTCAGGCATCACTTGCCTACAGGTATATTCATTTATTCTTTTACTGTTACATTCAACCACAGCTATTAAGTAGGTTTCATATGTTGTGCTGTATCAAGAGGAGACAACCATTCTTTGTCAGCGGTGTTCTTCTAAGTTACTCTGTGTTGGAGAAAACCAGATGACTGAGTTTATTAAAATGTTGAAAAGAATACATAAACTTTGAGTGAAGGATTTAGGGCATCTCCTATAGAATTTTAGTAGCTTAGAATATGCACAAAGGCACGTTAGAACTAATAATTATCATTAATTATAATAGTGATACGAAATAAATAAATCAGGATAAGAGAAACCAAGGAGAGCAGTAAATAAAACCAAGATGAGGAGAGAACACAGAAGGTATGTAGGAAGTCGCGGGCAACTTTCTAGAAGTGGGCACCTGGGTAAGTCCAAGTTTTCTACACCCCTTGTATGGAACATTTGGAGATTCGAACCTACCCAGAAGCGCCTTGGAAGAAAGGCCTGGCAATCTGCTTCTGAAAGGTCACAGCCATAAAAATCCTATGGAGTGCAGCTCTTTTTTGCACCACCTGGGTTGTCGTGAGTCAGAATCAACTCAATGACAACTGGGTTTTGCATGGAAAAATAGGTTTTGGTTTTAATTTGTGGGTTTTGGCATTTTCTACTTATTTCAGTGTTCACGATTGTATTTAAGTTTGAAGTTGCTAGAAATTTGAACTCTTGAATGTGTCAGATGTTGCTCCGCCTTGACATTGTGTTTTATTATTGAGCAGGCTGCGGGCAGAAATCCAGACAACATTCCTCACCTTTCTTCCATGCCCCATGTCACTGCCTGTTGACTGTGGGCCCCACTCTGTTTCCCTGAGCTGGGTAGAACTTGTAAAATACAGGGAAGGCACCACTTCATCGACTTACCTTTTCAAATAAACACATGTTATGGAGAGGCTGTGAAGCGTGAGAACTGTGGTTAACAGCAAATACCTAAATAGGAACTTGGATTTCACTCAAGTGGAGCAAGAATGTGCGTAAATTTGACTGATCCCAGAAGAGAAGACTGAAGGAAGCCTTAGAGGCTGACGAAGAAAGGTTCAGATCTTTTAGAAAAAGAATTTCAGGGTTCTTAACTTTGAGTGACACCGCTATCCTTGAAAAGTGCGGTGCAAATGGTTAACGTGCTTGGCTACTAACCGAAAGGTTGGAGGTTGGAGTCCGCTGGTAGCTCAGAAGAAAGTCCTGGCAATCTAATTCCGAAAAATAAGCCGTTGAAAACCCTATGGAGTGCAGTTTTACTCTGACACACATGGGGTCACCATGAGTCAGAATCAACTCAACGGCAACTGGTGGCTATCTCCAAGGCCGAGGTGGAATGGGTATTTTCTACAAGCACAAGTTCAAGTAGCCTCCAAGTTTTGGGTTAATTCTTGGTTAACAAAGCCAAACCCATTCACTTCCTAAAGCACAATTATGATCATGTATGTGGTATGACATTAATGTTGGCTATTAGGATAGTGGTTAACATGAATCACATTTGCTGATCACCACTAGAATGAAGTATAAAGGAGTTGGCAGCCAGTAGCAGTACTCCATGAAAACACTGACAATTGTGTAGAGAAGAACTATTGATTTCGGGATGCTGACTCCCCCAGAAACATTTCAAATAATTAACTACAAACATGGAAAATTTGGCTTCCTGTTCTAGCACTGTAAAAAATTGCACTTTAAATCTTGTAGTATTATGATGACTTTAAATGTAATGTATCATATGCCTTCCTTTCATTAAAGTCCTATAATAAATCGTCATGATTAAACATGTTTAATGTTAGAAAAAAGATGATTTTGCATGCCTGGATATGATGAATTATAGCATTGTGACTCTAAAAGATGACTCTTGGATATTAAAAATGGTGAGTTCTGTAAACATAATGCTGCACAAGCTGGTTAAAATGCAAACTCCTATGCTTGGGCTTGAATTTCATAGGCTTCAATTCTGTGTTATCTACTCATGGATTATCCTAATTATGGATTTTCTTGCCTCCTCCCTCCATGCCACCCAGGAGTCCTGGAGTTGCTTTTCTCACTCATATTTGCAAGGCTGGTTTTCTTCTGATTGCCTTAGTTTTCTTAGCTTCTTTTTTAAGCCCTGTTTATTGGTTCACTCTGTCCCCATCTCAAAAAATATTTACTTGTCCAACAGTCTGCATTCGCTCCCTGGAAACCTCTTCTTCGTCAAGGATACAGGATAAGAAGTGAACAGGAGGTCATTTAGCAGACAGGTATCAAAGAATGCATAGGGAAGTACCTAAATTCCCACCTGCAGACTTGGATTCCTCTCAGAGAGTGTGTCCAAGTTCGTTGCCTTTTGGTGTCTGTTTGCTGGAACCACCTGTCAGGTGTGCATTCCTGCTTGGATCAGGGCAGAGAAACCTGCAGACACACACCTGCTTCCCCAGCTTGCCTTGGACAGGCTGTGGGTTGGCTTTTCCTTCAAAGAGACACAGGCTGAAGACCTTGGCAGACCCTCCTCTACTTTTGGTGATATTTTGGTGTTCTCCCCCATAGAAAGGATGGCTCCTGATATGACCTGTGCTCCTGTTGGACAGACTTCCTGTTTGGTTAACTCTTCTTCTTCTGGTTCCAAGCCTGGCTGTGTTCTGGGATAGTGTGTAGTATTAACTGTATCCTTGCTGGGCATTTGGACTTGGTTTCTGCCTTGGATCGTGCCGCTCCTCTATGGGTGTCCAGACCCTTGTGTGCTATTCCTGCGACATTTTTGCTATGGCCTCAAGGACACCTCAGAGCTCTTTAGCAACCATTTTATACAAACCACACTACTCATGCCCCTCATTAGAGGGTAGGAAGTCAGAAGCCTGCTTGCCGCATTTCAGCTAGCAGCATTTTAATAAAGACTTTGTAAAACCAAATGTTTAGAGCAACCTGCTGCCAGTTATTTGACACAAGGTGTAATCAATTTCTACCTGAATTCTATCTACCTGGATAAGGAGCCGAGGGAGGTGTATACCTGGGCAGCATCCTTAGCTGTCACAGCATAACTTGGCTCTGTCTGTCTCTCTCCCCACCCTCAGGAGCTAGTCCCAGGAACAAGTCCTCATAAGCTGCAGTTACGGATTCACGGGGCCTGGAAACAGGATCAAGAGGTCCTCATAAGTTTCCTGACATTCTCAAGCACCTCCTGCCTTTCAACACCTGCATCCTCAGAAGCCCAAGGCTCCTGGAGTATCTATTGTTGGGGGACTGTGGGACAGCCTCAGGGATGTGGCGGGAATGCTCTCTATCTCCTCAGGTTCCACACAGCTCACTGCGCGGGTGCAGGGAGCCTATCATGTAGCCAGGGCTAAAGGTGGCCAGAATCAGCACCCTCCCATCACCTGGGAAAAGAATAACTCGAGCTAACATTTGTACCCAGTATTATGCTTACTGCTTTGCAAGTGGTATATCTTTCATTCCTCCAAGCAGCTCTATTATTTAGGTACTATTACTATCCCTGTTTTACTGCCGAGACACTAAGGCCCAGAGAAGTTAGTTAAGCTGCCCAAGGTCATCCAGCTAGGAAGCGGTAGAGCTGGGCTCACCCCTGCCATCTGCTTTAGAGCCAGACCTCTTAAC